TAGCATATAGCTTCCATACAAACTGAACACATAATTACTAACAGAAATGCAACTGTGAAGGGTATTTAGCTTCGGTGCAACTGAAGTTAACGTTTTTCTTGTTTTTTTTTTAATTTCATCATTTACAATAGTATAATTCAAGGCATTGCCTATCAGAAGCTGTGACAGTCTGATGATGATCGGCTGATCTTTCTGGCAGTTAGTTTATTTGGTCCCAAAAAAACTCAGCCAAGAATGAATGAAGCCTACGTTTGATACCAGTTCTTAATCTTCAATTGCCCAGAACATAATTTTTCAGGCACAAACTGCAAAACATTTGACTAAAAACAAATATTGCTTAGGCTTTCTTATAGACGTATAAGGACCTCAAGGTTAAGCTGCCCAACGAATGGTCATAACATGGAATAATAATATAATTTCACCATCTCATTGAAAACCGTAAGAAAATACTACTAACAGACGCAATATCTAGGAAAGCCATTTTCAAAATTACTAGAATGGGTTAACAACTGTTCGTACTTTTCAACAACTCGTTTTCTTGAAATTTATAAATGGACTTCAAAATCGCTTCGAAGCTCATCTTGGTGTCATACATATTTTATTTATAAATTAGCGAAAATTTCTATAATTTGAGATTTACCAGAACCCCGAACTCATTTTCACTCATCCCTCATCATTCACCAGGCATAGGTCATTGTGTTGAACTATTACTATGTATGAATGTCTATATGCATATGCTCAAATGGGCTCACTGATCTTTAGAGCATCTTAATGATAAACGGAAGTACATTCATTGGCAAAGAACAACAAAAACGATGAGTACATCGGATTACAAAGTAAATGAATACAAAAAGCATACGCTCGCATACGCTCACATACACACATACATACATATACAGTACAGTGTAAACAAATTTGATTGCGCCAAAGCATGGATTTGAGAGTTTTATGGGTTTGGCGTCCATTAGAAGCGGTTGCGTTGACAGTGATTATCAAAATTTGGAACAAATTTGATGGATCATTGAACGTTCTGACGAAATGTCACGCATACAAACCCAGCCGAGCAGTTTAATGCTTCATTCTATGTGTATTACTTTTGTTGTAAATATTTGTGAAGGTCAATTGACTTGTAAATTACTTGTCGCTCGATTTATCTCGCATATAAGTTCAGCCGCAAATTGATTTGCATTTTTTCCATTTTGTTTATATTATTATTATTTTTTTTTTTTTTGGTGTTACATTACATTTTGTTGTTGTAGCGCTTTGTTGATTTCGTTACATCATGTACTCCTGCGTCCAATTAAAGATGAGTAGGGCGCGTTAGCGCTGATATTGATCGTAATGTTCTTCGACATTGCTGTTGTTGTTGTTTTACTCGTGTGCTTCAGTTGAAAATTGAGTGAAAAATCATGCTGTTCGTCGGCACACCCATGGGAAAAGTTCGACTAAATTCGGCTGTGCCGGTTTTTTCACAGTTCAAAAACTTTTTGGGCCAATGCGTTTGCATACAGATGTATGTATGTGTGTGTGTGTATACATTATATGCACACATGGCAAGAATTCTTTAAAGTTCAGTAGTTTTGTAGGAGAAGGTCAACGGTAATAGATACAACCGCAACTGCCAAGTGTTTATGGCATCGTAAAATTAGGTTTACGAAAAAGAAAGAATGACGGCGGAACTGCATTCAATTAAGACGTTTGACAGCATCATTAATTAAAATATTAATAATACGGCCATAATTTACAAACATGTAAGTTGTTTGATAAAACTGACTTTTACGCATGCTGTGCCTAATATTTCTATTTATTTCTGCCTAAAAATATGTAACAGTAAACGGTGATCAGTTAAGCGCACAATCAATACTTCTACGTTTATTCGACGGCGTTTCATACTCAGCACAGTCTGAGTTGTGCCATGACTCAGCATAACAGTACAGCTATACCGCTGATGCTGGCGCACATTTAACACGTAACATTTTAATTATAACGTTTTTTTGGAGAATTTGGTTCAAGAGGTGTGAGGTAGATCAATACTTTTCAGTAAAAGCTATTCTTGAGAATGCATTTTATACTATAGGTATAGCGTCTTCCGTCTTCAATCTCCAAAGAAATAGTAACTTAGTAGGGGCTTCACGGTCTAAAATGGAACAATTTATTTAATACCCTGAACCAGCAAGTTAATTCCTGGCATCCATTGATTACTTGAGTTATTCAAGGAAAGATGGGGTCAAACTAAATCTATACAAGTCTCACTTGAGGCAGAGAGAGGTGATTTTTACAAATAGCGTAGCTGGGTAAGGTTAAATTATAGTGAAAATATGAAATGACAATATGGTGAAATTTCACCTAATAATGTTTGTCTTATACGCCCGGAAAGAAAGCATAGTAGCCTTTCGAGTACCATCTACCAGATCTAACGGTATGAAGTGAGCATTGAAATACAAATGTGGTAGGATGTTGGTAGGACCTTACACTCATTGAAGAAAAAAGCTTCTTTTTTAATTGTATTGACAAAAAAATGATCATTTATAGCTTGGTGTGTGTTCTGGCTCTTTTAAATGCCTCACAGTCAGCTGAGATATCCTTATGCGCTGGAATCCATTTAAGGTTTATCGTGAAATAGAATGTTAGATCTATTAAGGGATCAAGACATTACTTCAATAACTTTGACGAAAGCCAAGAGGCTTTAGTGATTTCGAAGCCGCCGGACCATCTTTGTGTATAAATATATGTTTTGCGAGACCACTCCTTATCAGAACATTAAGGCTTTCTTTTATTGATGTGATGTCCGCTTGGAAGACACTGTAGTGGTCTGGTAGACGAAAGAAGATCCTGGTAACCAGTTTGAAAATACACCACCTCCGACTCTATTACTTAATTTGAACTCATTCGTATGCATGCGCACCTCCAACTTGTACCTCTCTCACTCTTATCTGGAAGGCAAGGCAATATTGGTGAACGAATTTGAATTCAATTCTATAGGATTTCGAGAATGCCAAATAACAGTGAATGCTTGTCGAGGCATATGGCGATCGTGCTCTATTAGAAGAAAACTAAAAAAGGTGATCAGATCGATTCGGTAAGAAGGCAATGTTCTGTGTTAGATGGAATCAGAAGCACATAAGCTTCTAAAACCTGGTGAGACTGTTAAGACTAATCGCTACAGACACTAAATGATCAATTTGAACTGGCATTCATTGATCGGAACACGACCATAATGGGCCAGAAGACACGACAACAAAGCAAAGTCGGTTCAGCTTACAATGAATGTATATACTTCACGAGGTTTGGTACCTTCCGATTACCATTTATTTTCTGATTGGCTTGCTTCAGATGGACATTCCTATTGGCATGATAGCCAAAAATTTATTCAAAGTTTTTTTTGGCAGAAATATGGTCAAAATGCTACGATCAAACATTGTTCACTTTCCCATTTGCATACCTTAATGAACAGCGCAGCGCAAGCAGCCATGTACAGCTTCTAACTTGCATTGTTTATGATCATAAATATTTTATTATACAACTGTTCGAGAAACGATTTTAATTAGATGAAGATGAGATGAAAATAGTTTCCAAGAATATTATAATGCGTTTTCTTTTGACTTACCCGTATTCGTTCAACAGTCGAAATGTCTGCATTAACTATGGTAATGATCAGCAGAAGAAAGAGACACAGTCTGAAATAAGACGAGAAATATATTTGATTAATTTCGATTTTAACTTACGTATCAAATTAAAAAAATTCACATTTCGACGGAATTTACCTTTTTAAATTAGTATAATTTACTTAATTAAAATTACTTCATCCATGCAGAAGGTTGAAATCACACAATGGAGCATCTTTTGTGTGCCATCGGAGAAACAATTTTAATTTTTTTCCCAAAATTTACTGTGTGTTTTTGAAAAATGTATGTAGTATATCCTAAATTCTTCAACTATTGATACAGTTTTTAGCCTTAAATATAGCAAATTCTTCTTCATGACTTAAACTTTTTCCATTAAAACTTATTGAACGAAAGTATGAACTGCAGATGCATTTGAACAATATTTTCAGATCAAAAACTTCATTTTCAAATTAAGACACTTCAGTCCAAAGGAGATTATCTATATACATAACATTATATCGACATTAATGGGAATGCTGCCATAACGTTGAATAAATAATCTTTATAGATATGAAGGCATCTTCAAAATTGCAAAATATGAAAACGTCCGAGCTGTGGTCGGCATTTTTGAACCTGCAGTGCCGCTATAAATATATGTTTGTACACACAGCTGTGTGTGCAGCATATTGGCTGCTGAAAGCTGTTCGGAGGCGCCCAATCAGAGCAAGCAAATGAAGTGCAAAATCATCAGCAACAAGTGACGGCGGCAGCAAAGCATAAATGTATAAATAAATATATGTATATATAGCAATGTGTGTATATAATTCAAATGTTTTGAAAAATGCTTGCTGAAATGCGTTGCCTACAGCTGAAGATGAAAATGAAGATGTTGCAATGCAAATTGAAATCATAAGTGAATTGGACTAATGAAGTGTTGAAAAATAGGGTAGCTTTGCTTGCTCTCTTCACATCGCCGCCTCGCAGAAGAAAAATCGATTTTGTGGAAACAAAAACGCCAAGCGATGTAGGCTAATGGCAAGCGCTACAAGTAGTAAGCACATCTCGACAAATTATTCTGCTCCACACCATTTCTGTATACTGTACCACTCCGTCAGTTGCAGTTTGCAAAGAGTTCATTGATAAAATTTGGTCTAAAACCTAACGGCTCACATTGAAATGCACAGTCGTCAGAAACTCTGTTTGGTATTAGTGTGAATACATCTGTTTAAATGTTTTCATTTCGATTCTTATTTGTTCATACTTTTGCGCAGATAATCTAGCTGGTGTTTGTAAGAGTTGACGAAGTGTTTGTTTGTTTTCAAAAATACCTTTTGAAAGTAGATTAATTAAGTTGGCAACGACGCAAGTATAATTCAAAAGTAACGTTTCTTTTTTATTTATCGAAGACAAAAAATTGGTTTCTAAAACAATGTTGTACTAATCAATTCAATATTCCATAAGTAAAGCGATGGAATGAAAATATAGGAAAAAAATTCCATATCGATCCCATCGCAGGCATCTTGTGGTGCGTTTAGTCTATTATTGCCTTGAAAAGTCCATGGACCGAGCCGAGAAGACTTTTCAACAGAACTTGAAACTTCTTTCTTGGAACATTTATAACTTTTGGGATCCGCAGAAAAGAGGAGATTCTAAAAGTGTAGAACCTTAAGTGCCCAGCGTAGAGTTTTAAGACTCAGCTGAGATGATATGTGAGGGGTCCCAAACAGGAGCACTCTGCAATCCTCCGCTACTTCGTTTGCATTGATGGTAACTTGGACCCAAGCGATAAGTGGACGACACAAAGCCGCTAAAGAAAAGGTACACTGAGCATTTAATGGATAGATCAAAGCTAATGAGAAAAGTGGAAGGAGGCATCTTCTTTCGAAAACTCTCCATAAGTACTCACTACCAGGCTACCAGGCCGCTTCAGTGTTTTTCAAGCGGAGGAGATGGCCATGAAGGTAGCAGTAGATGTACTTTCCGAAGTGCAACTACTTCTAATGTGGTATGCATTCACTTCGAAAGGAAAGCTACAACACTAACCTTGAGCACTTTGACAGTGCGTTCAAAGCTTAAAAAACAGTGTTTTATATCTTTATCAATAGTATCAAAGTACTTAGATATCAGACTAGTTTTTTCGTGTGCCGGATCTTAACGCACGTGCGGGAAACTGTAAAGCAAGAGCTCGCTGGAATGGATACTCTTACCAATATTTTATCAAATTGGCAACATGTCGGTACTACGCTGCCTTCCTATGCTCTGGCGTTAGATCTATAAATCGCCCGTGAGCTTGGCATGCTCTGGTCACAGAGCAAGACTTGCGCGACTTAGAGATCCTTTTGGCTCAAAGTGGAACGAAGAGGTCGTCTGAACTACTTGCTCTTAGAAAAGTTCAGTTCACCGGCATGCTAAGGGTTCCGACTGGTCATATCTTCTCTGAAGCGTCAAATTGTCAAGGATATTTGGATGAAGTTACTTTGTTTTCAACCGCCCAGGTTTCGCCAGACTTTGGTAGAAAGACCTCGATTAACATGCATTTGATATTAGCCGCTTTAAGAAATTTGTGGGAAGCTAAATGTATTATAAGTTGTGGCACAAGATCCAACAATCACAGTTATCTAGTCGTGTTCTGCGTCAGCTTTGGGGCCAGGATCGGTCCTACGAATTAACCAGACGTAAGCTGACCTAACCCATTATCTATTTGCCGGAAGCAGTTCCATTTAACTAAGCTTATAATAAATGTATACTTCGGATTATCAATATTCTATTCTTTATAATATAATAATATAATAAACACAGACCAAAGATGCCTAAGAAGTTTCAATATTTAAGTAAACGGCTAGTCAATTAGCTTTGTAAACTATTACGTTTTCCTAGAGGTTACAGCGTTACTGACTAACCGTCTAAGCTTTCTTCAAAAATCTAATGCGCACAACTAAATAATAAATAAATTTGAAAAACACGCCATATGCAAAAATTAGTGATCACACTTAGAAAAGTGAAAAAATATTTGCTCAGTTAAAATAATTATTGTTTCGAAAATATTTATATGTAATGACGCATTTAGGTATAACATAACAGTAAATGACAAGATGTACTATACTTTGTTATACTAGGTAATAGGTACTCTGAGTCATTAATATAGGGTCTCTCTTCAAAATATTGACACAGTATTCACGTAAATGAGCGATATAAAATATAAATTGCCCGATTTTCTGAAGTGAAAACATTCAAAAATATAAATTAATAAAACAATTATAACAACAGCCATTAATGTAAGATTAGGGAGAGAGACATACCTAGACTTTCTATATGTCTAATTCCAGCGCCTTAACTTAACTCTCTAAATCAAGCCTTATAGAGACCTGACAGTTTATTTTTGTTTTTCTTTTCTTTATTACACATATTTCCCAAAATAAAATGACGTTTTAACCCTAAATTGGGGTACTTTTTTCGAAGAACACACCTTTATAACCGCTTTATGGATCATTGACAGCTGTTCAAATGTCTACAAACTAACTGAAGCTTAGATATATTGTCGAAAGACGTGCTGTTATTAGCTCATACAAGCAGATTTTCGACTTAAAACGTTTCTAAACACGGCCGCATAAAGAACACGCTAAACACAGAACGGTAAAGGAACAGTTAGCGAACCAGAAATCAAACGATGGAAAAACGTAAGCATTTTAGCACAGAAAGCCAAACGGCATAAGTGCGAAAAATTAGTGCCAAAAATGAAATATTTCGTCATAAACGCTGCAAATGAAACGCACCCCTTCCTAAACCGCTTTAATCGTCACACATTCTACGAAGTTGAGGGACCATGAGTTGCATCTAAACTGAGTACTTGTTCTACAAGCAAACGACATTTGTTCTACAATAATTGTTAATTAGGTAAAGGCATCAGTACTAACAAGAAAAACATGTCTTTGGAGTATCAATTTTATCAAAATAAATAAATGACGCACGGCAATGTTTTCATGGACCAGTCGTCAGTGTTTTAAAAACACTTGCACCGTTTGGAATTCTTTATGTTTGGCAAGAAACATGATCAATTGAACGTATTTCAGTGTTGAAAAGTGCGCGAAAAATTTCGGAAACTTTTTTAAAATAAACCAAAAAGTGAAAAAGAAGCAAATAACAGTAACTAAATGGTGACTCCTTCGGAAAAGGGTTTGTAAAAGAAGTATTTGCATAAAGTGAGAGGTGAAAGCCAAAAAGAGTTTATTGAAGCTCAAGTTGAAATTCATTTTTTTTTCTTTTGTCATTGCGTACTTTCAAGACAGTCATGACATCCAGTGATTAAAAGTAAAAAAGCAATGGAATATTTTAGAGCAAATAGATAGAGAAAAAACAATCAATAAAATCCTACAAGTAAACCAGCTCCAACTTAAAGTAAACCAAATCCAAGCGACCGCGAAGTGATGTTGTTGCCTGAAATAAGTATATCGGCAACAGACTCAAAACAACAAAAGCAACATTGCATCATGACCCGCACTCCCTAACCTTTTTCATTAGTGCCCTGATATTAGGCCTGACTTCGAAACTTGACGAGAAAATAATATTGTTTCCACTTCTGCAGGTTAAACCTAATTATACGAAATAACTGTTGGTATTTGACTTCAAATAAACTTCCTGAATCGTGGACTAGGGAAATGTAATGTGAAGATAATGCGCGTGCTTCCACCCAAAATTTGTCCATTGTGTTCACAAGCACAATCGTATTTAAAATGATATATCTCGATAAAAACAATAAAAATACAGGGTTTGTCCGGATAATAATAGGAAGGATTTTCTTCGGTCGCTTCGGCTGTACTTCATAGCATGCGCACACCGACTGGATTCGGTAGAGGGCGTTCCTAGCTAACGAACGAGCTTCTGGTCAGTCGTCTCCGAGAACATTGAGAGTCAGGACAAACATTTTCGCGCAACGTGTTTCTGTGAGTGCAAGACGAAAATGCAGCGTTCGTTAGAGCATAGGTACGCGATTAAATTCTGTGTGACAATCGGTAAATCTACCACAGAGACGTTTGATATGATCAAGCTGGCCTACTCAGATGTCGCTTTAGCAAGAAGTAGTGTGTTTCACCCAGGCCTTTTTGGAGGGCCGGAAAGAGGTCGCTGATGATGACCGGAAAAATGAGCAAATCTTAAGTGGAAAAGATATTCATTATCTTTTTTGACATCAAAGGCATCATCCATAATGGATTTGTTCCTCTTGGACAAATCGTCAAAGCTTTACTTGGAAGTCCTCAAGAAACTCAAACGAACTCAAGTCATCGCAGCCGATTGGAAGTTGCACCACGACAACGGTTCGGCTCACAATGCAGCCGCCCTACACTCCAGATGTGGCCCCCCGGATTTTTTTGTTTCCTTGCTTGAAAGAGCCGATTAAAGGGGATCCAGCAGAATGAACCTCGGCTCTCAAGACTATTCCAGAATATGACTTCCACGACGCCTTTAATGTTTGGAAATCGCGTTGGCAGCGCTGTACAAATTTCCTACTGAAGGAACTGTAACGATTGGTTCAATATTTTTTTTTTAACGATTCAGTCCTATTAGTTTCCGGACAATCCCTGTAAAAATTTCTCAATTAATACAAACTCTAAAATTAAAAAGTGCAAATTCTAACAAACTCCCTTCCTCAAAACAAATATTTTAGCGCCGCTCTTTGGAATACGCCATCTGCAGGCACTGCTGCTCTTTTTCAATATAACTGTGGTCTATGTGAGTCGTTTAAATATATCCGTGGCTTTAGTAGCCATGACGAACGCCAACACAACGAATCCAGATTTTCCGGTAAGTTCTGGAGCATACTTAGTTTTAGTTCTATACTAACAATCCGTTATTTAAAGGAATTTGACTGGAATGAGCAGCAAAAATCTTACGTACTCTCCAGCTTTTACTGGGGCTATGTACTCACACAGTTTCCCGGTGGTTATTTGAGTCGTCGTTTCGGCGCCAAAATAACTATACTCGTCGCCACATTCGCCTCCGCTGTTTGCAGCTGTATAACGCCTGCCGGCGTGCGCCTCGGCGGTTGGCCCGTATTTTGTGTCATACGTCTGTTACAAGGTCTCTTCCAAGGCGTTATCTTTCCTGCCATACACGACCACCTCGCCAAGTGGTCGCCCTTGCATGAACGCAATCTCTTAGGAGCGCTTAGTCTCTCCGGCACTGACTCTGGTACAGTTGTAGCATTGGCGTCAAGCGGTCTCATTGCCAGCAGTTCGCTGGGCTGGCCAGGTATTTCATATGTGTCTGCGTCGCTATGTTTTGCATGGTGCGCAGTTTGGCTCGTATTCGCCGCAGATAATGCACCTTCCTCAAAGTTCATCACGTCGCAAGAGTGCAAGTATATTGAGACATCACTTGAACGCAATGATGATTTCCACAAACGGAGAATACCAGTACCATGGCGTGCAATATTCACTTCGGTACCGTTTCTAGCATTCCTCGTGGGACGTTGCGCCGAGGCTTGGGGCTTCACCACACTGCAGTCACAAATACCATCCTACATGAATGGCGTACTGAACATGGAAATCAAGAAGAATGGTCTATTCTCGGCCCTACCCTATCTGACAATGTGGTTTTCATTGTACATCTACTTAGCGATAGCAAATCTACTTACCAAACGCAATATACTCTCGCTGACAGCGATGCGCAAGACGATTAACACAATCTCACTATGGATACCATCGCCCTTGCTAATAGGTATCGGTTTCTTGGACTCCTCTCAGCCAACACTTGCAATCGTGTTGATGACTCTCAATATAGGTATCAATGGCGGCTCAACCATAGGCAGTACACTCAACTCGATTGATCTGGCGCCTAATCATGCGGGCATACTAATGGGATTATCTAATACTATCGTAAATATTGTGCCGATCCTCTCGCCGCTACTTGTAGGCGTTATTGTGACAGATAATGTAAATAGTTCTTTGAAATTTGGAAACTAAAGTTCTCTATATTAAATATTTTCTTTGCAATAACAGCACAATCGTACGCAATGGCAAATCATCTTCGCAATCGCCGCCGTGATTTTCTTCCTGGGCAATCTGTTTTACATTATTTGGGGGACCTCGGAAACTCAGCCCTGGAACTCGGTGGATTTTCATCAAGAGAAAGACGCAGAAAAGACTGTGTGCAAGCAAGTTACTGTAGGGAAAGCAGTCGAACATTTGGAAAATGTACAAAATGAGAAAAAAGAAGAGATTGATGATAAATATAGTTCTGTTGAGAGCACAAGACTTTAAAGTATTTATAAATTAGTTAGTGTGTAGCACAAGTATTATATTTAATATAGTTAAATACCATATCACACATATGTATATTTATGACATGACAAATGTTCAAAAAATCGAAGTGATTATATAATCAAGTTTCAGTTAAAACATTGTTTTTCTAAATATTAAATTACTTAAAGTAATTTTGATCAAAACAAGATAAAAGGAACTACTAGGGGCAAAACAGCAAAGCCATATGTAAAATGATAGATCAGAAATATACGAAATTCCTACTGGTACTCGATGGAAAGCACTGTAGGAACATAATTGGAATACGCTGTGCTTACAGACTTGTGGTGGCTAAGAATGAGACTTACAAATCGAGAGCTCGCAGGAAATGTCAAGAACACGGTACATGGAAACAATAACTACTTTCATAGAGCATGCAATAGCACTACATCTGGTATCGCATAAGACCAACACTGACTCATTAGTCTACCAGACTAACCTAACCTTTGTTAAGCGTTGAGGTCGGTCGTAACAAGGATCTCACTTGGAACGTGGGTCCAAAAACAGTGGGCTAAAACAGAATATGACAATAAAATTTTCTTAATACGTAGTATTGTAGTCACCATTTACTAAAATGACAAAAACAGATGTAATGGAAAACTTTTGGACTCTAAGTAAGAGTTGAGTAATTAGGGATATTTTTTCAGAAAATAAGTAACTTTACATAGTATTCTTAAGATTTCATTTTAGTAGCAATAAACTATAGCTGTCGGTAGAATGGGAGCCTATTAGTACTCCCATATCCTCATGTGTTCTACTACCACCATTGGTACATGCGTTGTCACAAAAGTCTTTAGGCCCAATATAGATCGCAAAAGACGTAGTGATACATTTGCCTTCAGCAGGGCAGTTTCTCTCCCTAATTTTGGGGCTTTCAAAGAGCCATTGCCCTATTGGGGTCTACACATTAAAGCTGGGAATCCTACCAGACGCCATCTGCAGAAGCTGTGATGAGGTGAAACAACTCAACACTTCCTTCTTGACTGTCCCGCGTTTGGGAGGTCAAGACTTGAGCACTTGGGAGCGCATACCTTCAGATATCCAACCGAGCTGGTGGTAATGGAAATTAAACAACTATGCAAATTCGTATTGGCTACTAGCGTTTGGCTAATTTATAGTTCGAACACAGGAATTCTTCTCCACGTGCGATCTTTCATCAGCCATCTAACCTAAATGTAGCTGTAAGGATTCAGTGACTGAAACAATACCAAAAGTATTTTCAAATAGCTGTTGCTTTCTCTCCAAGTTTTCTTTCCACTAAAATCGTATGTTAAACAAAATTAGCACAAATAACACAAATTGAAAATACTATCAATCAAAGATATGTAAAGGTGACAGTTTTAATGGGACCAAACTATACTTTAAAGACAAGCTTCCTTAGACCTGTAGAGCCAGTTTTAAATAGTGGCAGCCATTTCTCGTTAAAAATCACTCATATACTATACAATTCTTATATGCTTAATGCCTCCAGATATGTACATATATCCACCCTCAAATATACGGATACGTATTCATATTCATTTGAAGACTTGTCTGCCATCAGTACTCCGAAATTCACTTGTCATATTAGTTGCATAACGAACACGCAACATGCAATTACTATTGACCACCAAATGTCAATGGAAATGTTATGCCAACCTTCAATGAAGCGAACCGTTATAATTATGACATTTGACGAAACCAGAAAAGCGCAACAACAACATATTATGACGAGATAAATTCATATAGACACCATTAGGCAAAATCACAACAAACAAGCGAGCATAGAACAACAACATGAAATAATGAAACGTGAAAAATCACTGTCATGACATGTGAGCACGCAATGTGCAACCAGAAATCACAAGTACATACACACTCACACACATGCATATAAATTGTGTGCACAAAATGCCAGTAGGCGATGTGAAGGGTTAAGCAATGAGCCGATAAGCGATGCAATCGGCAGTCAGCGGCGAATGTGTGTGGGAAACAATTAACTACTGATACTTAGAAATATTAGAAATATTTTCATTGATGAATTAATACTAATACTTACTATACTTACTTGCGGCTATCGCAGTTGACACAAGTGACAGCTGACGATTGCTGCCGCTTGACGTTTGACCGCAACCGCGAATTCCACGGATACTGATCTTGCTTAGAATTCACGATGGAGGGTAAAAATCAGTTGCGTGCAAGAATTTTGGGTTGGGTTCGAGGTAAATATCACATAGTGCAAATTCTTACAAGTGTTTAAGCTGAAAATGTAAACGAAAGATTCACACGAATAATATGAAAACAACGACGACAGAAATTCATTCTATTTAACAACTGATCAATTTTTTGTGACTAGACAAAACGCTCGTTGTTAACTCGGCTATAATCGCGTAAGCGGTGTCTACGCCAATTAAGAAGAAGAAGACAAAACGCTTCTAGTTTGATGGTCTAATTTTTAACACAGATGACATTTATGAATCTATAAATACAGGCATCTGATCGCATATAAACCGGTATGCTAGATTTAAACTACGCGTACGAAACAGAATCGATATGAAGTTTGTTCTATATTAGTAAAATTTTTTTATTTTCCTGAAATTTATGCCCATATCGCCGCCTAAAATGGAAGGAAGGAAAAACAATATAATAAATCCTACTCATATTAAAACAAAATTTGAGTTTTGGTTATAAAATGGGTATATATTGGTTATAGACTGGCTATATTCGACACCGGAAGTTGAAATTTTTATCTGGCGATTTTTACTATAGCAAAAATTTCAATAACGATTTTTAATGCAATTTTATGCTTCCAATTAAATCACAGGTACGGAATTCTTGAAGATGATGAAGAGGTGTTTTCGGGGGTCTACTTTATTACGAACAAGTATATGAGTGGCACAAAATATTCAGTGAATGTCTCGAAGTAATCGAAAACTTGCCTCGTATGAGTAGTCTATGCAACTCTCTATAACAATATTCGAAAAAGTTAAAAAAAAAGTCGTGGTAACACCTGAGAGATATCAAGGAATACCAACATCTCTTGGGACCTAACACAACACATTTTGCTTTAAGTTTTTGGTATGAGGCGTATCAATGATAGACCAAAAGACTTGAATTTAAAAAAAAAACGAGGAGAAATTGCAATATATATGCCTGACAACTTAACCGAGTACGTTACATTCATCAAACGCATGACTACTGATTCCGAGAGGTCGATTTACGAATATGACAACGAAACGATCCAACGAGCTGCCGAATGAAGCTCCAATAATGAGCCGAAACCGAAAAATCTCGCTGAAAATACTGTAGGCCAATCTAGTGGAGTCTTATGTAGCAAGTGCGAGAAATCATTGGATGCAGAGTTGGCACGCCTGTATTGGCTCATTATTGTTTCAGAAACCTCAAAGACATTGCTGAAAGAACAAAAGTTTCGGATTCCATAGGGAATGCCTTACAAACATTTTTTCGAAATCTGTTATTCCTTCTATATGATAAAATTGCAGTATTTTCTAGAGAATTTTATTTTTGATACCACTGTTGATAAACTTTTTATATATATATTTTATTATATGATGTCAGTTTCCATTACACTCAACACTTCCTCGCTTATTCTCCTTAGAGGGTTCCATGGGTTTACGGGTTTCAAAGAATCGAATTTTTTATGGTTTTATTATATTCTATAATACCTCTAGAATAAACTCCTAAATTGATCAAGTTGATCCGGGTATTAGTTTCCTTGCTACAGCCTTGAGACCTTGGCTGCTCGAGACTAGCGAAGCTTTTTTTTTCTACGTCCAAGTTCTAAGTTAAGGTTTTAACTAAAACACGTATTTTTTCTCTTTAAATGGTCCTGTAAGTGGTTATCCCGCCAACGCGGGCGCATCTTTTTTCAAAGGGTTCACTGGTAATGGCATCGCAATGGCTGAATTTAAAAAATATATTTTTTTAATTTTACAATTTTTTTTAATAATGTATGTTTGAAACAACAAAAAATCCTAATAAAATATATAATTTAAAAAAAAAAAACAATTTTTTTTTATCCGAGGAACCTGCTAATCAACTGCATCACAGTGTGCAGACGCAGGTCAGAGGCCTTTGGATCCATGTTTCCGGATAGGTGATCCCTATCGCCTCACCAGCATCCAGCATTATATTGCACTTCATCAATATGCTAGGACTAAGTGAGTCCCTGTGAGTTAGGAGAGGGCACAATAGCCGTAAGGTCGCAGTGCATTCCTCAATTATTTATTTAGCTATCTATCCAAGGAAACCCATGTGCCCATTAAGCCAACACATGCATTCATTTAGACAATGAGCCATAAAAAGACAATTGGGTTAAGAATGCTTCAAAATATTCGGAGCTTAATAGAGAAGTAGCCATTTTTGTGAATAGTTGACCTTAATAAAGCCAGAATTTTGGTACTAATATATACTTTTTAACAGTGAGAGATTTCGAAGTGATCACAAGACAAGTTGAGACGAAATAGAATAAGGATCCAGGTTTCAAATTGAAATTAAATCCATATAAATATTTATTATACTGATGCTCTAAATTTAACTCGTTATATGTTAAATCAATATTATACTAACCTTTCTAAAGCTCGCAGTATTAACAAACAGACTGACATATGTAGGAAGCATAAGTAAATAATACAAAGCACAGTAAATAATTTAACAGTTATTATTTTATCTCTAACAACCATAAATAACACAGCTAAGCAGCTTAACTCTCTTCGCAGCACGAACACACGCACACACCTATTTTGCCATAACCCGCCCTACTCTCTACACGCCCTTACTGACAATTAAAACGAAATAAAATAAAAATTTAAATACGATTTTTATATTAAAAAGCCATAAATTAATTTAAAACATTTAAACAAATAAAAAAGTTGTAGTTTCACGCATACACATGTTGTTATCTTTTTTCAATTTCATATCACATAAAGAAATATTCAGAAATAAACAACCGAAAAAGAGGCGCGTGCTAAGAAATTCCTAAAACCACCCGCAGTTGCCACCCACCGCACTACCGGGCCGCTTTGAGCAAAATTCAAAAAAAAACCATTTTGATTGCTTACCAAGCACATAAATTCTTACAGTAACAACAAGGCGGACGTTTGCTGAAGTCGCTGAATTCTCAGCAGCGTTCCGAGCTCTTACGATTGATTTTAAGTTAGTCTGCGTTGGTCATAAACCATCCAAGAATGGGATTGTGTGAAATAAAAAGACAACGCAAAGTGCCCAAATTAGTGGCCTGCGCCGCGCAGTTGAGTTTGGGTGAATCAGTGACAGCTCGGGTCGCCGCTGACTGCCGGCAAGCCGCCTGACCGACAGCTCGGCGAGTGTCCAAAATGCAATTTAAAAACTCAAGCTTAGAAAATGGCAGCCACTTGAAATGCAGAGCACTCTCCTCCACCACCATTAAACAATTGAAGGCAATTAAACTCTTAAGTTCGGCCGTCGATGCACCCGAGACGAACGCGAGAAATGCCTACTCCAAACTGTGAAATTGTGCAACTTCTTTGCGGGTAATTAGCTTTGATAAGACACTACATTGCCAATATATAGGAGAGGATATAAGAGGGTGATGCTGCGCTCGCGGCTTGTTTTTCGGTCGTAGCGCTTGAGGCCCGCTCGAATGATGCGATTTCTCGGTATTTTCAATTGGGTAATTCGAGCTGCCTTTGGATTGCATAACTCTTTCTTTCTATTTTATATGCGGCTACAATTATTATTTTTTACATTCTATACTTGCGTATGTCTTGTGCGTGTTTCCTTTCTTGGTTCTGTGTTCGAGATGTACGAAATGATTTATGACAGCACACTGCGTGTCACGACCGGGGAGTGTAAGCTATAATTAATAAATTATGTATTTATTGTATCGCTTACTCACACAAGTATTGAATGGGTGCACCAACACTTTCATAGAATAATGATAAAAGGCACTGGAATAGTCGTAAAACGTACAAAATCTGTTGTCACATAAAAGTATCGACAATTCGGCGAAGAAAACACGCCGTCGGAATTTGGGTTTGCTGTCAAAAATTAAAAGTAAAACTCCTTAAAAAATGTTTTTTTTTTTTTGGTTTTTCAATGATGAAGTCATCAATTTGAGTCGAAGATTATACATCCACATTAGAAAACATCTCTTCTCACTACGTCTATGTATGCATGTATTGGTAATATTGAGCAAATACTTCATTTTTCGGTAGACTAAAAATTTAAAAAATTATTTTTGGCTTTTGTAAAAATATAAAATAATTTAAAATAAGAACTAATTTTAAAATAAAAAAAATTAATTTTATAAATTTGTTGTAAGTCGTACACCTGGTGTGAAATTACGAACAAATTTATTATTTTTATTTGTGCATATACTCGTTACAGCGAGTTCTTTCTTCCCGGTTTAGAACTCTGAATTATCAGTTGTATGGAAAATATGAGATACAGTTGTCCGATTTAGTCAAATATCAATGCACCTATATATTAAATTTAATTGGGATATGTCAAAACTAGCTCCGCATTAAAAATTGATGACCCATTGTTTCTTAGGCAAAGTTGTTCAGAATGATCCATAGAACATTTTCTGCATAAGCGATTTTTTGGCTCCCTGTCAATCTACCCGCTGTAATATCCATGCAATAACTCACCAATTTTTTGATCTGAACAAAAATTTAAATTTGGTAGGCCACCAACGATCAGAATTTCGAGTAAATTTAAAATTAAGAATATATTCTTGTGGAAAATTACGTTACATCCACGGAAAAGGCCGGAATCACTACAGCGGTGGAAATATTAAAAAAATTGAAGTTAGGTTAAGAGATGATAAGGGAACTCGACATCTCTCGCAAACTGTTCGAATGACTTTGGTACATATTTTGGGCATCTCACATTCATGAAGAGCAGACATAGGTTTATGAGTTTTATAAAAAGTCAAAAATCATCGGGATAAGAGAAAATTCATGGCGCATCATGATTTTATTCTGGAGAGGCAGATGGTCAATAAGGAGTTTTACTACGTTTACGTGAAAACATTCGCCGAAAACGACCGAAATTGTGAAAGAACAATTCATGGAATTTATATGTTGATAATATCGCATTGAGCAACGATTGTGTCCGAATTTAAATCCAAAAACGCAATGAATACCATCGATCAACCACCGTATTCAACAGATTTCGTGTGATTTCCTTGTGATTTTCTCTTGTTTTCCAAACTGAAATTGCCGCTCCGTGGAAACCGTTTTTAGCCGATCGAAGAGAGAAAACAAAATTCGCTGAAGGAGCTGAAGGCCATCCTAAAAATTGATTATGAAAAGTGTTTCGAGGAATGAAAAAATCGTATAAAAAGAATTGAGGACTGTTATAAATGTATTACAAAACTGAAATCTCAGTGAGTGAGAGGGTTTCTGGCGAACAGGTGTGCTAGGATAAGGTTAGTCCGGAAGGGCTGGGAAAGGAGGACATGGTATGCCCTGATGAAGACCTTATTAAGCGACAAAATTTCGGGATTTATTATTTACAACTTTCGACATGGATGAACTAAACCACAGCGCATCGATGAACTTAATGCAATTTTTGGCGATGAAGCTCCATCAAGGACCTCTCTTTATCGATGGAATGAAGAGTCCATCGAGGTCGTAGATCACTCCAAGACGAATTTCAAGAAGGTCGTCCAAAATCTGCTATCGTTTTGGAAACTATGGATACTGTGCACAAACTGATATCGCAAGATCGTCATAAGATATATCTTATGATGGAGACAACTATAGGCATTAGTGGGAACAGCTTACATTCAATATTGCATCAATATTTGACAACAAAAGAAATTTGTTCCCATTAGATCCCAAACAATTTTTTAATCGATAAAAAAGCTGATATCAATTAGCTGTAACGGTGCTTCGAAACATATCGATCGATGTAGATGGTGAATCTTCGATTGACTTCTTTTTATACCTTTATATAAAAAATTAACTTAATTAATTAAGAAATCGACGTTTTTCAACAGCTGTAGAGGCGGTTTTTTTTGTTGAGTATGCTTGTTTTGTAGATACCTCAACCAGAGTAGAAAAAGTGTTTCGACGATTGGTTCAAACGCACGTAAAAGTGTATAGGTCTTTTTGAAGAAAATTTTCAAAAACAATAGAGCGGCACTTTTTCAATTTCGTTCCCGGTTCAGACTGTCGCACTGTGTTAATAAAGCCTTAACATATATATTGAATTATTTTTCTTTTTTTCGAAAAAAACACAAAAATAATATTTCTGTCATCCTTTTGGTCATAATTAGAATACAAATATTATTCTTGCAAATTTCTAAAAATTCTACTCACCTTAGCAATCGCGCTGGCCACATCATATTCCAACAACAATTTAACCCCATATCAGTTATTTATTTGTGAAGTTTGCACTCAACTTATAAGAAAGGTTTTTAAGTCACACACACGATTGTAGCTTCATGAGACAATTTTAAACACAATTCCTCTTCGTTTTTGATAGAATTCAATCAACAGTAATTTGAAATTCTATTAGCGCTTATGCCAACTTAGCCGCCACAAAGTTCACTTTTCTATTTTATTCAATTTATCTGACTAGGAACCTCTTGAGCCAGGCTGCGGAATGTAGTCATACGCATCGACGTGCGATGGAGCTGAAATGAAAGCGAAATACCCGTAAATTAGTGATCTGTCAGAGAAAAATTGAATTAATAGATAATTTAAAATGGACCAAACGCATTTTTGTGTTGAACGAAATTTGAGAAAAATTCAGCGGTTCAATGTGTAGCAAGCTTATTGCTATCATACATAGAAAAATTCTTAAAAATTATTATTATTCTTTATTTGTTTTTGTTCATTTATTTATTTGGCATTTTTGCGTAAAACTCGGTTCTCTTATCGCGCTGAGTGTCAGAGCTGGATCATACTAATTGCTTCCCAAGTGCGAATTAATTCATCTTTATTTTTAAAACCAGAATTAGTTCATTCTTATGCTATTCAAATCGTAAAACATAAGCATGTTTATTGCCCATTTTTATTTCAGCTTATCAGTTCAATAAATGTTATCATTCTGATAGTTTTTTCTAAGATGACTAAGTACATACATATACATAATGAAACTGCCCTGTAAACTAAACGATGATTAACATTTGAATCAGCGAGATAGTGAGAAAGTATTGGGAAGTCGAAAAAGTCTTTTCATATTTCCAAATATGTACCACTTTGGTTGACCACATATTCCTATTTCCCCGCTAGAGATATTATTCCATCACTGTAAAACTTTTCTGGTTCATCGACGAAAAACTGCGACAAGTAATTTTCACTTTACTCCATTAAGTGAGTTCTGCATTTACCGAAACAATTGGTAGTCACATGGTGTAAGCTGACAGCTATATGGTGGAAGCATCAAAACTTGCTAGCCAAGCTCTCCCAGTTTTTGCCGAGACATCAAAAATGTGTGCGGTCTAGCGTTGTCCTAATGGAAGACGAAGCCCCTTCTGTTGATCAGTTCTGGCAGATGTTTTCGATTGCTTGCTTCAATCTGATCAGTTCTTGAGAGAAAATGTAGAATCAATCATTCGACCAGGCTGAAGCAGCTCATAGTGGATGATTCCTTCCCTATCGCAGATGTTAGTTCGGCCCATTAAACTTTTTTCGAATAATTTATGTGATAGCCAAACATCGAGCCAGCCTATTTTAAATGGTCCACAACTGTTTGATGATGAATGTTAAATGCCTTAGCGATGTCACCGCTGCTTGTAGCACTGGAGATATACGACTACAACGACATTTATTCAAAAAATACGAAAAGACCTTTTCGACTTCCCAATATTACAAAATAAAAAAGTCCCGTCTCACGATGTCATTTTGTAATATGAGAAGGGAGTGTTTGAAACATATAATTTCTACTTTATCTAGCCGTTTTTGGACTTCCACCATTCGTAAAATTGATCAACGAAGGCCAAAGCGTATATTCGAACACCAGGTGGTTTAACTTCCGAATCCAATCGTTTTTATTCATAAAAATTTGTCTTGACATTTTTACAAAATTTAAAAATTTAGTTCACATCGAGATTGACGATCCCAATAATGCTACGTCAATACATTATTCTTTTTATAACGTTTTGGAAAAAAATATTATTCTAAAACTAAAATTCACAGCAATAAATTTTAAATTTCGAAGAAAAAAATTCGGTTTCCGATTATACAGTCAATTAACAGACTCACCGAAATACAAAAAAAAAATACTTCAGCAAAAGCTCCGCCAACAACGGTATTGAGTAAGCTCATGTATGAAGATCAATTTCAGATAAGTTCTCAAAACATGCATTTTAATTTGATTTTCTAGTTTACTGTGAAATCAGTTCATAGAATGTGAAGCAAATAATACGACTATTAGATAAACGATTAAAAACAAAAGGAATGTGCAAAAAAGCGTAAAATGTCCAGCAGCAAAAAATAAATTTACGAAAAGCATTTGGCGCTGGCTGTCTGGCTGTCGATAGCCGTCAAGTCGGCAAACCGTGATAGAAATGCGTAACTGGTATGTGGATGTTGATACGTTTGTGTAGATAACTGTATTCAAATTTGTGCGTGTAACATCAAAGCTACTTCTACATATACCGTTATTTATGGAATGACACTCCCTCCCGCTCAAATTAGTTGACACAAAAAGCACAAAAAAGCGACAAAACAAAACTTAAATAAACCGGAAAAAATTAGCAAAAAAGGTATGACGGATCGCGCCAGCTGGGAACTTTTTACCGTAGTATAGGGGCGGTGAAATTATAGTATACCCACAACAATGGAAACTAGTTAACTGCATGGTTTAAAAGATATTTTAAGCGTTTAGGTAAAAAGTAAATAAAAATATATAAAGGGTGATCCATTTCGAGGTTACATATTTTTTAAAGATAAAACACGAAAACTTCAAGCTCAATTTTTAATGTTTACTATCACTCGAAAGAGTGGCATTTATGGTTTGAAGATTATCTGTTTCAAATGCTGGCTATGTCTCAGCTGGTCCATCTGTCATCACACGATTTTTGTGGCCAATCGGCCGTCTCAAAACTTGAAATTAGATGCTCATCGAAGTATTCTCTCAATAAATCGATTGATTGATGCGATGTTTGAGAAGTGGCGCTATTTTGTTGAAATCAAATGTCGCCAAGATCACGAGCTTCAATTTCAAGCATCAAATACTCGGTTGTTATTGACGGTTACGTTCGCACGTTCGCAGAAATATGGACCGATGATTTCACGGGTCCACAAACCACACCAAACCCTTGGTTTTCTAGATGAAATGACAGCCCCTGAATCTCTTCAAGTTGCTCTTTGTCCCAAATGCGGCAATTTTGTTTGTTTACAAACGCATTAAGCCAGAAATTTGCCTCATCGCTGAACAAAATTTGGCTCGAACAAGTCGGATCTTCTTGGAACTTTTCAAGAGCCCATAAAGCAAATCCAATTCGCATGGGTAGGTCGAGAGGCTTCTGCTCTTGCACAAGCTGTATTTTGTACGCTTTCAATTTACTTCTTCACSTAAAATGTGCCAAGTCGTTCCATACGTCAGTCCAAGTTGCTGCGAACGGCGCCGAATAGAGTCTCCAGTAATAGTGTTGCGAATAGCATGGTCAGTTGGGCGATTAGGTTGACCATAAGTTGGGCGAARCGCGCGAAACACATTCTTTACTGAACGTGAATTTTCGTAATAAAGTTTAACGATTTATTGAAAAAAGTACCTCGATTAGGATCACCCGTTTTATTTTTTTTTTCGCTTTTCGAGTACCTAATGTGTATGGTCGGTGGATTTTATATACTTAAGACTAGCTTAGCTGACTGTATGAACACTTCTTACGCATTAATATACTTTTAGCGATATTTAGCAAGTTTTCTTGGCTACTGTAATTACCAGCGCAAGAGCATATTCCAATGCTTTGTAGCGGAATCCAATAGCGATTGTCTCTATATAGGAGCATGAGCTTGTGCTACAAAAGATACTAAACTACTTTTGAATTTATTTTGGTGCGGAAGTATTCGCAGAATTCCTGCCACAAATTTTGCTCCAATTTTTTCGTTCATTTTGTCTTCACTGCACATCGCAAATCAATCAACAAAAAATGTTCAAGAAAAAAAATCGAAAATAAAAAATTTATATTAAGAGGCATACATACATACATACCAACAAGCACATACATACTATATATTCTTATATGGAGGAAGTTTAATCATGCGCAACATGTGGGAGATTTTTTTTGTTGCTTTTTCGATAACTCGAGCCACCACTCAGCAGCTGGGCAACAGGCCCAGTGGCTGAAGTGGCGTTTGTGGTTCAACATAAAATAGCTTAGGGTTTAGATTTTGCATCAGTACATATGCAATAATGAATAATGTAGTATGTATGTAAATTTATATGTTTATACTTATATAATATGAAGGCAGCCTTTTTATAAGCATTGAAATATGTGGAAATATTTTTTGCTCCCAAAAACTCTAAATTACTGACTTTGAGCTGAGTTATGCGGTATTTAAACTGTATAAAAATATATATGTACATACGCACTGAAATATATAAATAATTTGCTAATGTGTATGTATGAATGTAGCTTAGTCTTTTTTACTTTTTGTTATTGAACTCTGTGTTCAATGGACGTTGGAGGACAGCATATTAGAGATCTTTATTAGAAAATTCTTAGACTTCCGTTTTTGATAGATCTGCAAATTAGTTGTTGTTTATGAGCACATACATACATATTTATATACATATTATATTTATAATGTAGGTGATTGAAAGATAAGTCGCTGAAACTATTCCAAAGAAAATGTGTATGTAGTGTATGAACATGCTTAACGCACCAAGTCTTTTAAGGCCGCGTTCACTTGAGTACCCTTTACTCACTCATTATCAGAAAATACTCTTTTAATATCGCATTTTATCCTTAAGTATCTAATTATTGTCCTCAACCAAGTTTTTTTTTTTTATTTTTTTAATGGTATTGTTTTTTACGTGGTGGGTCCCAAACTCAGCGCACAAACTTGGGGAGGAAATGTTTGTCTTCTTACAAACGGATGTTGTTTGGTTACCCAGAAGGTACTTTAAATAAAACTAAAAGTCCTGAGCTGCTGACACATATGCAAACGAATAAACGAATCGTTTCTGGACACTCCCAAGTGAATTGGGCTCAGAAAACTTTCCGCACTTGCGTGAACTCCAAACTCCGTTTTAGCCATAACCTCGTAAGCGGCGTCTACGCTAATAAAGAGAAATGTTTTCCTTATTCACTTTTTTCCGCCGATATCGAACACATAGCTGGCATTCAAACTATCATTCATCGCCTGTCACGATATCATAGACTTCTTTCGAAGTGCCGCTATCGTTTTTTTTTTAATTTATTTTTTTTATCATTTCTCTCGACGAATCGAGACGAACGTTTATTTGAGCGAATGATAAATTGTGTGAGATCCAAGGTCAACAATCTTTTCTGCAGTCTTGAATGTATCTCACGATAGACATGACGATCTTGCAATATCATTTTACACATAACAATTCCGATGTTGGCAATGTACAAGGCAATCGGCCGGCAGGTCATTAACTACGCCGCACCAATATCAAAACACCGCACTTCGAACGACAAGATGTCTCTTGATCATCAAA